CAGTGCCCAGCTTCTCCGGCGGTTCGGCCCTGATCTTGGACGGCTGTTAAATGGCATCACTGACACTCTTTCAGTAGGAATCAGACGGAAACCAATGGAAATGCGCACCGCTACTACCAATAAGCTGCATGTTGCGGCTACCACAAAATCGCGGATTGAATTTGAATTTGAAAAAAATCAAATTTACAGTTAAATCAGTTGATGACGGTGCTGGCTAGGTAAGGTATGTTGCATCAGGATGGAGAAATCATTTCAGATATTTCACGGTATTGTTATCTTGTGTCCTTCACCTATCATGGCAAAGCTTTCCGACGCTTTATCTCTAGCGGTGGTCAGAAGTAGAGCTCCCCAATCTGTTTGGATCATCGGAAAGGGGGGGGGGGGAGGGCGGCTCCAATTCCCCAAGTTTGAGAAGAACGTTGCTTATATCCGGGGAGAAACCTGTTTAAGACGCGTTTTGGGGAAGATTTGGCTACTTTTCTCGGCTCAGCCCCCTCCTCCACTCCAAACTTATTTGACGGAGGTATTCGCTGGCTCCGACGGCCTATAGTTCCCCTGCATCAAAAGCCAGCGACCTGCAACAGCAATCAACACCGGTACCCTTATCTCGCTCGTAAATTTCCGCACCAGTGCAGCCCAATCGATGGTTGACGTCGGCCAGTAAATGAAAGGGTACACACTGTCATTTCGTCGCCTGGGCATTGTTCGGCGGCTCGTGCGGAACCGGCCTCCCCTGCCTCCCCTGTCTCTTGGGAACGCACCCTCGCGCCACGCCCCTGTTTTGCAATTCTGACAGCGGCCGGCTGCCGCAGTAGCGCAGCGCACGTGCTGTATCACACCGGCCGCCTCTTTTGCGGGGATCACAGCCGCGGCGCTGAGGCCGGCTGCCGCAGTAGCGCAGCGCACGTGCTGTATCACACCGGCCGCCTCTTTTGCGGGGATCACAGCCGCGGCGCTGAGGCGGCTGCCGCAGTAGCGCAGCGCACGTGCTGTATCACACCGGCCGCCTCTTTTGCGGGGATCACAGCCGCGGCGCTGAGGCCGGCTCTGACGGTCTGAGGCACACGCCGCCGGCTACCCAGGCGTCCCCCCCCCCTCCCCCGCTGCCGACGGACGCCGCTGCCGATGACGAACACCAGCAGTCGGGACTGACATCAGCAGTCGTGACGGACATCAGCAGTCACTACGGACATGAGCAGTCATGACGGAAATCAGCAGTCATGACGGAAATCAGCAGTCATGACGGACACCAACAGTCATGACGGACACCAGCGGTCATGACGGGCACCAGCAGTCATGACGGACACCAGCAGTCACGCAACCGTCATGATGGACACCAGCAGTCGTGACGGACATCGGCAGTCATGACGGACGCCAGCGGTCATGACAGACACCAGCAGTCATGGCGGACCTCAGCAGTCAGGACGAACACCGGCAGCCATGGCGGACATCAAAAGTCATGACGGGCATCAGCAGTCATGACGGACATGAGCAGTCACACCGGACACCAGCATTATTATCGTGATATTACCGTGTAACACGTCGTTGACATCAAACGTGAAAAAGGGAACAGACTTTATGTTGAAAAAGACTTTGACTTTGACTTTGACTTTGACTTTTTTTTACTAAGACTTTGAAAAAGGCTTATGTTGAAAAAGAACAGACTTTATGTTGAAAAAGCCGTATACATCGTATCAAAATTATGATGCTTGACGAACAACAGCTGGCAAACAGACCACAGGGATTTCGATGTATTTTCATTTTCTTTTGTAGTACACGAAGCATCCAGGAGATGTCGGCAGCGTGCGCCAGAAAAATTCACTCAGAAATTCGACATCGTGTGCGGATGAGGGGTCTATGTCCACGAGCTCTTGAGAGTGTGACGTCAGTCCATGCTCCAGGCCGACCAGGCGAGGAACTGAATCCCTCTCAAAGGGCGGCCGAATGACAACTGACCTGGACAGGCTGGCTTACAGTGACGTCATCTCTTGACCAACAAATAGGTAGTTAATTCCGCGTGATAAGCTATTGCCTGAAGCAACACAACCTTGAGATAGCCCTTAGGGCTTCTGAAACATAATAAAAAAACCCGAGGTATTAAAGTAGGGGCCTGAGCCTAAAAGGTCCCTGACATCTAAAAAACTGGGCCATATAGGAGGCGAGGAAGGGAGGAAGGCTCTGACCTACTGTAGCACCTCCTTGGGCGAAATTGTGACTGCGCCACGGTGTATTTGAGCGAGGTGTGCTTTCACTTTTTCAGTTGTAAGGCTTATATCTTCACTAGTGTAAGGTTTATATCTTGTAAGGCTATCATATAAGATCAGCTGGCTCCAAATAACCATGTGTTTATAGTTATCGTGTTACGTGTTACATGTACGTGTTATCCGACTAAACGCAAAGGCAGACCTTACAGTGTACACAGTTGGGTATGTGCATACCCCAAAGCATGTGCAGTGAATATGGCCATCACTGACTACAACAAGGAGCCCACGGGCATGGTGACCTATCATGACTAATGGCCATGTGTACTAAAATGCCTATTTCTCCTCCAACGCTTTCCTGATTCATGAACTATCTGATTTCTGAATGATTGACAGTGGCTGGCAGTTGGCGGCAATTAGCTGACGCACTAAACTTTGTTTAATGTGCTTGTTGAGCAGTAGACCTTGTTTAGCAATGAGTCTGGGGCAGGTACGTGGCTCATTTAAGATGCCTGCTGCTCGCTGCCAAATCAGCATGTGCTTTAGCTTTAAGCATGCTGTTCGCAGTACCGAGATATTTCAGCGCATTGATCATGGCCATCGAATGAGGTCCATGAAATGAAATGAGAAACTTGGTTGACCATTTATGACTCGTCTTAACGTCTTGGCCACTTGCGTTGCAATTTATTTTGCCCGTTTACATCGGGACTAGCCAGCACCTTCAGCCGGCAGCGACGGCGGAACTGGTGGCATTAGCGAGCTGCGATCGCATACAGTAGCAGCTGAACAGCTGGCCCCCGCCGCGGCGACACTGTACAGCTGGGCGTCAGTGGCAGCGACAACCCGCCCACGACTGTTTACATCTGTTGCCAGGGCGACGGAGATCCGATTTCCCGATGAGACCGTCGACATCTGGCGCGCGCGCCCAGGCGGGGTTCTCGGAGAGGGTCTCCCTCCGATCGCCCCGCCCCGTCCCTCGCTGTCCCTGACAGAATCAAATTACACTGCGCCTCCGCTCCAGCGTCGCGTGTTCCGTTTTAATTACGTCTCAGCACGGGGGAGAGCCGTCTCAATCAACGCCAGATGCAAATATTTGCGCGCGGATGATACAGGGGAGTCCGCTAACGAGCGTCGCTGTCGACGCAGCTGGCGTGACGTCAGAGAACGCTAGTGACGTCAGAGGAGGGAGGGTGACGAGAGGGGAGGCGGTGCACTCAGCAGAGGGTGAAACGCTCGGGGGTTGAGCTGTGGAGAACGAACAATTGTCATCCGTCGTTCGGTTACGCGTCGGCGGACCAGGAAGTTGTGGCGAGCATTGCAGCACGTGTTCACGCGGTATGTGACATGCAGTATCTAGTGGATTTGAAGAAATAAACCCGCTGTCCGCGCATTTTTAAGACAATTCAATCAGAAAAGCGCTTTGACAGAATACGTATTACATGTCAGTTAAATCTGATGGGTATACAAACCATCAGCTGTTCCTGCTTATTACCTGGAACCGATCCAACTTCAACATAAATGGAGGACAATATATCTATTTTTGTCTTGTTTTGTCGAGTTTTGCTGAAGGAGATGCTTCAGTGTCAACTTGGTTAAGTCCCACACCTGGGCGAATCATCCACGAGGCCCAGCCTCGACCGATTTAGCCCTCATACGTGATCCTCACGTGGTGACCTTGACCGGTGACCTTGACCGTCCCACCCGACCGCCCGGCGGCCCTGTTCAGGTCAGATTTGTAAGGCCAGCTGTTCGCACTTCTCCGGGGCCTATGGGAGGTGAAGTGTCTGCGGGAGGTGCAGTGGCTGTGGGAGGTGCAGTGGCTGCGGGAGGTGCAGTGGCTGTGGGAGGTGCAGTGGCTGCGGGAGGTGCAGTGGCTGTGGGAGGTGCAGCGGCTGCGTGAGGTGCAGTGGCTGCCGCTTGTCTTTTCACTAGACGTGTCCCGCAGCTGCAGTGATGGGCACGGTATTCGGGATGGATCACGGAGATTGGCACTGGCTCACGGGGCATGAAGGCGGAGTGGTGTAATCCAATTAAACTCCGCGGAGCGGAGTTTAATCCAATTAACGTGGAATGAGGGCTGTTCACCTTTTCGTAAGGCGGCTGTATTAGGAGCCATTTGCAAATGCTGTATTCTGGTAGACTTGCTTGAAAACGTGTCGTGTGCTTTGCAGTCTTCATAACAATGCCGAAATAACGTACAAGTGAGAACTAAGTAATGTTGGAGAATTTTATGCATGTTATGTCGATTACGTCGTTGCCGGGGTAGCCTTTTTATACAAATATGTTCATGCGGCAAACTAAAGGCTATAAAATCGGGGCATGTGTTACCGTTTACCGATACGAACAATGCATGATGACTCCGGGTTTTATTGTTAACGCTGCCGAAGGAATCTACGCAGAAGGAACTTAAAAGATATGATGTTTCACCATGGCTAATTGACAACATAACAATGCAGATCTCATAGTTGCTTAAACCACCATTCTGTATCTCTATAGCCGTGCTCGCGGTCTCTGACGGTTTTCTTTGTGAACTCTTCTGGATGGCATTCTCATCCAGCCGTAATTTTATCGACTAGCGTATGATCACTGTGAGGGTTCCCCGCTAGAAGGCGTCAATACTCACGCCGGCCGTTTGCTAACGATATCGTGACTTCACCGTGACTCGTCCAACAGCGAACTTGTTGCTATGAACCCTGGCTAATGTGGCTGAAAAACGTTGTTCAGTGATCCCTGTGTAGGGAAACAACTACGCCGCCTTAAGATCACCGCCCGTAACATGCCGTGTCCCTGTGTCCACAGTGTCTGATCCTCGCTCGGTCATGTCCAACTCTGTGGCGTCATGGACCGATCTGAGCAGCATCTTGGAATCGGAGGAGGGTAAAGCTTGCTTTTACGGCTATCTTCGCTCCATGGACAGCTGGGACAATCGTCCTCAACGCTTCCACCGGCACATCGAGCTGCTAGACGAGGTTGCGCTCTTCAAGCAGCAGGCGGACGGTACACAGAAGCGCGCCGACCATATCCTGCAGACCTACGTCACGCCGAACAGCGCAGCAGGCGGCCTGTGGCAGGCAGCGCCATCTGCCGTCGAGCGTGAGAAATTTGAGTTCCAGGTTTCGCCACATGTGTTCGATCCGCTCGAGGCGGCGGCTCGCGAGGCGCTGACGCCGTTCGTGCGGCAGTTTCTCGAGGACGTGAAGAGGAGCGGAGCTGCCAAGTCGGTGAAGCAGCGCGTGAAGGAGTCGGGGTACCAGGCGTTCTCTGAGCAGCTGCACGGCCGACGGAGCCGCGGCGGGTCTGGCACCTGCGCGCTGTGCTAGCGGTTGCGGCCTGTAGCGCCTCCGGCCGCCGCACTCGTGGCCACGCCGTCGGCCATCGGATCCGGCAAGCGCTGCGCCTGCGCCACCTGTCCGCTGATGTCAGAGGCCGCCGCTGCCGGATTGAGCCGAAGCGGGAGCCAGCTCCACTGGTCTCGGTCTCGTGACGAGGCATTATGCGTAAGCGCTGCTGTCTGTCACTCTGATCACACCTGTTGTCAGTCTTGTGTTCCGCAAGAGATCATGAGAGGCGCCTGGAGGGCGGGGGGGAGGGGGGACGGGGTTCAGTCCTGATGTGCTCCGCGAGGCTGAGGCGATTCGACGGTGTCCGTCGGTGTTTGGTCAATTGACCGGGCAGTCAGCTGGCGTAAGTGGTGGACGCGTCGGCTGGCAGATTTGTGAGAAAGAAAGCCGTTAGCAAGCTTTGAGCTTTGGTGCCTTGGTTTGATATTATGCGACCCCAGTGTGTAGCATCCCGAGGCCCACCAGATGTCAGCAGTAACGCTGGCGACCCTGGAGGCTCGGTGATGAAACTCGATGCGCTACGCATGAAGGACATCGTTATGACATGCGTTTGAGCAGATGAGTTGAGAATTTGTACTTCACGATTTGTATTAGAGCGGATGTGATCAACTGTGGTGGTGCGATGATGTCAGTCGGTGCGAAGTAAAGCGATCGAGGGCCGAAAGGAGTCATCTGGCGTCAGTCAGCTGTTGTTGTGAACAAATATGATCAACGACTCGCAGATGGCTTGATGCTGAAAGCTCGTTTTCATTCCGGCGTTTTCAAGATGTCCAACATAGATCATTGGTAGACAGTCTGTCTAATGCATAGTATGTGGTCTTATTGCCATGTCTACAATCATGCCAGGGATCTTCCCTACGCTAAAAGCTCGGCGACATGCCATGGAACAGCGTGTAGGCGCTGTAATGCTGCAATGACGTGAGCGCGGCCAAAACCATACACAACTTCGGGATCGTCGGTGATGTCTGTTCGGTGCTGCGTAGTTTGCACGCTTGTGTGCGCGTTCTTTCTAGTTTGATTTCAGTGAACTCAGGATTGCATATGAAATTCTGGGCTGTTTCCCCTCTAAAACTGCCATCTTGCATCACTCTGCATGCGGTTGCGTTTTGCTGACATTCAGATGCTTCTGATGCCACGAGCTGCATCAGTTTTGTCATCAATATGCGTCACTTAGTTGGCAAAGGAAGCTGGTCTTGGAGTGTGTTTTTGCTTGGACATGTTGCCGTGATTGATATCTTTTACCGCCCCATGTATGTGTTCTTAATCGTCGCACTCCTGTCTTAACCGTGGATCTTCTTTTTGATGCGTTAACATCATCCTGATTACGATGCTGGAAGTATCTCCTTTCTGTCCAGATCAAGGACAGTGATGGGATGGCTCAACGGGCGCTGCCCTTCTATTTGTTTTGATCGTGGCCAGAAAACATGACTTACCGTTCCTAATGTTTGTTTTGTGTCTGTGTGTGTTTAGAGGAATGCTTCCTCTGAATCCAGGAAACACTGGCGCAAAAGCGCTGCTGATTGGCCAATCATTGCGCCGGAGCATGCACAGTGAGACTTCCCGCTTTATCGCGTGGCGCTTGACTACTACTCTGCATCCTGGACCGGACGCCATCTTCATCTCCAGTGACTTGCTCTCCCTCCTGGGGATCAAAGACGGACTGCCAGTTGGTAAATCCGGGAGAAGCTGACCGCGCTGAGCACCGTTGCTGTTCACAAGACCGGGCCTGACGGGGCTTATCCCGGGCCTGACGGGGCCTATCCCGGGCCTGACAGGGCCTATCCCGGGCCTGGCGGGACTTATCCCGGGCCTGGAGGGGCTATCCTGGACCTGGCGGGACTTATCCCGGGCCTGGAGGGGCTGTCCCGGGTCTGGCGGGGCGCTTATCCCGGGCCTGGCGGGGCTTATCCCGGGCCTGACGGGGCCTATCCCGGCCGCCGATTGGGACGCTGTAACGGTGCAATTTATGCGTCATTCGGGAAATGAGGCTTTCTGGTGACGCCTTACCATCTTGCTTAGCCAACCGCGAGGACTGATCGCCTCTGAGAATTAGCGTTCTTTGGAAATGATGAAAGACTGAACATTGCGCGACGATGGTACCAAATTCGGCGTAGCTGATGAGAATGGCAAAAAGCAAAGCTCTTTTACGCCATGGGATCCGTATTGGATGTTTTTCAAACTGCCCCTCCTGGCTACGCACTGATTACGCTGAATGGGATCAATCAGATTGTTCCTCCCTCCCCCTGCCTAAGATATTAAAACATTTGAAAATCTTGCAGTACAACTTCCAGCCACGCATGAAGGCAACGTTGCTCTGTTCAAGATTTCCCGCCCTTGCTACGCTTTGGTTATGTTCCATCAAAATCCACTTCCCATTCAGGTCTAATGTAGTTAATGCGTGGTCCTACGTGAAATTATTGTGTTGTGATCGCGTAAATAAACATATGCGCTCGCTATCCAAGGGTAGTACATTGATACCGGAAAATGTTAATTTTGTACAATATTGCCATGAACGATAATACTCAAGCACACATATCACGCTGAAGGAATTGATTTTAATCACTTTGAGCCATTGATAAGGCAGTAGCAATAGTTTTATTTCTCGGAGAAAAATCAGGAGAACAGAGCTATAGATGGACTGATATTTTCACAGCATGTCTTTATCGAAACAATAGCAGAAGTATGTCATCTGACAGCTAAATATATATATATATATATATATATATATATATATATATATATATATATATATATATATATATATATATATACCCCTCTCTCTCTCTCTCTCTCTCTCTCTCTCTCTCTCTCTCTCTCTCTCTCTCTCTCTCTCCCTCTCTCTCTCTCTCTCTCTCTCCTCTCTCTCCGCTATTC